TAGCATGGTCCTTCAGTGTGCAGCATTTGGTAAGAACAACTTTGTCTAACTTTTGTGTGCATCTACAGCAACACCCAATATAATTTCTGAATTGATTCAACCATGGCACTTTGTTCAAGTAAATGTCCTGGTTCCCTGTTGAAATAAATTTTAGACTGCAAAAAATTAAAAGCCTAACCTCCTGGATTTCTTATCTTTTAAGAAGATAATTCATTACATTACATGAACATACATTTTAAAAGTATTTTTCTTGGTTTGCTTTGATTCTGAGACAATTCAAAATAGGGGTGGTGGTGGTGAAAGAACTAGCAATTTTTCAGAGACCTTGACTCTTTGCATACAGAGAGAGAGAAAGAGAGAGTTGGAATTTGAAGACTTTTGGATAATCCTTCCTTCTGCTTCAAAGACTGGCCAATCATCCTTATATTCATCAAAGAGCTGGACTACCAGCAAAGAAGAAAGTCCAGCAGTGAGTCAGCTCTAAATGCAGCAGATGCTGTCACACTTCCAATCCCTGATCCATTGGCTATGTAACTCAGCTTGTAGTATTTCTTTTTTAAAAAAATCATGTCATGACTCTCTGATGACTAAGATCACAACACTACTAGGTTTAATTGCCAGTCCTTAGCTATTTGGTACTCTGCAGATGCATTTTTAAATTGTGGAGAAACAAGGTGTCACATCCAAAACATCTCACCAAGTAAATGAAATGGAAATAAGGGACCCAGAAGATGATTTCTTTCTTGTTTAATGTTATATCCTATGGCTGCCATTCCTAAACTGGTACTATCTAGAATTTGGTGGGGCTGCAACCCTGATAGTTGTGGGGCTTTCCCAGAGGGAAAAGGTGTCCTATGCTACTTCCCACTCCCATTTTACCCCTTATTTATGCTGGGTCACCACTAATACAAAATGATCCTATCCATGCAGATTATTCAGATGTATGAGAAAGACTAACATGACCTTCTGCATGTTTAAAAAACATGTTGAAAGCCTGGAGAAAACGCACTCATCTATCATGTTGGGTTAACTAGTAGTGGATGATATGGGCTTAGTATTGCCAGTGAGCTAGTTCACATAGCCAGTTCTGGACCGGCTATTCGCAGTCATGAAGAGATGGCTGGTGAGTCTGGGAATTTAATATCAATCCTGCTACTTGCCAGTCTGTGTTTCCTGTTGCAGGCTGGTGAATGAGCATTTGGGCAAGCAGATAGGGCCAGCCTTAGGGTTCAGTCCCCACCTTTGCTATTAAAATTCTCCACAAGGAACTAAGGGGAAAAACAAACCTCTCTGCAAAGGACTAAGGGATAAAAATGGTATAGTAACTGGTCTAAGCCTTAGTTCCTCGTAGATGTTTTTTCCCCTTAGGCCCTTGCAGAGGGTTTCCTTCCACAAGTTCTGGGAACCCATTCAAGTCCAGTTTGAAAAACCCTAGCCTCTGTTGAAATATGAACTGAAGAGCTTATATTTCCAGGCATTAATTTTGGCTTTCAGTTGCTTCCTTTGTGCGCGCGTGTATGTGTGTAATCCTTCCACCAGTTGGAGTCCCTTACTATGCCTGATAGGATCATTTAGGCTGTGTATTTCTTCTTCCACTGTTTGCTTTATCTGGAGTAATCGAGTCCCTCTTTTACTTCTGGCAAAATATAGCCTGTCACCATTGTTTCTTGGGTGGAAAGCATGATTCATGACCATTAATCTTCTTGTTTTTCTCAGGTATACCCAATTGAACTTGTGCCCAATCAGTTATACCTCTGGTATATCAAATAATTGGAAGAGTCAAAGTGTTTATGGCTTTAAAGTATGCTTCCTGCCATTAATTTTGTTTTCAATTATGTTGGATTCATTTTATATATTGTAATTAGAGCTAGCATTCTTTTTAACTTGTTAATGTAATAAGTCAGAAGCTTTCATTCAGGGGTATCGTATTTTCATATTGCTCAATGTTATAGACCAGTGTTTCTCAAAGTGTGGTCTGAGGACCCCTGGGGGCCCCCCAAGACCCTCTCAGCTGTCCACAAAATCAAAATTATTTGCCAACCATCAAATATGAGAAGGGGTAGTGGCAGCAAATGCATCAATTTTCATTCTTAATACGGTAAATATTGATAAATATAACCCATACAAACAAAGCTCTTTCGGGTCCTCCATAATTTTTAAAAGTGGGAAGGGGTCCAGAAGAAAAGAATTTTAAAATTCTTTAAGAATTTCAGGTAGTCCTTGCTATCTGACCACAATAGGGACCAGAATTTAGGTCGCTAAGCGATTTGGTTGTTAAGTGAATTGTCATGTGACTGGACCTGATTTTACAACCTTTTTTATGACAGTTGTTAAGTGAATCACCATGGTCATTAAGTGAATCACATGATTGTTAAACAAATCATGTGGTCATTAAGTGAATCCAGCTTCCCCAATGGACGTTTTTTGCCAGAATTCACTTAACAACTACATGAGTTGCTTAACGACCATGTGATTCACTTAGTGACTGCAGTGATTTGCTTAACGACTATCACAAAAAAGGTCACAAATCAAAATCACATGACCATGGGCAGTGGTGCAACAGTTTGCAATGGTCTAAGTGCAGGTTGTAAAGCATTTTCTCCAAGGCCGTCGTAACTCCGAACCATCATTAAATGAATGGTCATTAAGTGAGGACTACCTTTATTGCCACAATTTGTTGCCTTGCTTCTTCCAAAACTTCTTTAATGGTCTTAGGACCAGTACTTTAGAAGATTATGTTTGTTTTTTTTAATTTCTAAATTTGTTCTGCTTGAAATTCTTCATGGTACAGGTAGTCCTTATTTAACAACCACAATTGGGACTGGTAACTTGGTCATTAAGTGAAGCAGTCACTAGGTGAAACTGCAACTGTGCTTATGATGTTACTTCAGCTTTCCTTTGCTTTACAGACCTGCAAAGGTTGTAAATGCAAGGATTGGTCATAAAGTTACTTTTTCATCACCATCATAACTGCGAAGGGTAGCTAAACAAAGCTGTTGCTAAATGAGGACTACCTCTACTTAAATCTGCCCAGAGTTTCTTAACATTTTGTTCAAGTCAAGATCCCCATGTTAATATCTTGCCAAATAGAATTCAGACATTTTCTTTTTATTGACTGTGGTTGTAGTAAGGGAAAAAGTTGCCCTCAGAGTTGAACCAGCTCCTCCTCTGAAGTAATTCAGTCCTGAGACCATCTGCCCCTGTGGGTGAACAGCAGCTGGCCAGTTAGGCCTCCTTGGAGCCATCCTCCCTTCACTGTAAACCAGTTTCTGCCTTCCACACCAGGAGAGGATTGAAGGGGAAATCCTTGCCCCACCTGGGTTTGGCTAAATACAAAAAGGGAAACCAAACAAAAACTTTGGGAGTCTGTAGCTCAGCCAAGCTGAGGCGGGTGATAGAAGGCGACTGGTGAAATCCAGGACTGAAAAAAAAAAATCACCTTTATTAAAGGTGTTAAAAGAAGATCCATTTCCACACACACAACAGTTTAAATACGAAAAAGCCTAACACAGTTAAATAACTCATCCTTGCCTAAGGTCACCCTGTCATCCAGGTCTCCAGCCAACTCTCCCAAAAGCCAGCAAACTCTTTCCGCCCAAAACTTGACAGACCCTCCCCTTTCCCTTTATTGGCCCTCGGGGATCAGGTGACTCCCTCTGGGCACGTCAGGCTGGCTTGGGATTTAAAAGGGCCAGCTGCTCCTCTCTGCAATGGTAATCCTACATGTTCCAATCCTTTCATTTGAATTTTTATTTTTCCTTCTGTTAATCAGTTAATTATAATCCTTTTGTTTGCACATTTATTTGTGGCTCTTGTCGGTGAAGATGTTCTTCTGAATTCTCTCTCATTCTTTCAGAGTTTATATTTGCCATGGTTTGGGGTTTATCAGATGCCACATAATTTTTGTTTGCTATCTGCTCAATTACTTCCAGTTCTGTATCTAATTTCCTTTTAAGGATAACAAAACGTTGATCCATTAATCTCTGTCCAGTAACGCTTGAAACTGGGAATCTCCACGTCTACATTTCAAATATTCATTTTTGGAATCCTTTTTAGTTGGCTTAGACTGGTAGTAACATTCCATGATGACTGATATTCCAGGTTTATTCCAGATTTTGACCCCACTTAACACTGGACGCCTAGAAGCTATAGCACCCAGTGCAGTCTTTATTGAACTGGACAACTTTTCTTCTTGTTTCCGTTTTATGTAACTTTTAAAAATATATTATTTTCATACTTTTGACATTTTTTTGTATGTTGCTGTCCTCTTTCTAAAATGAAAAAGAGTACAGCCTGTTCAGCTTTTAAAGTGTTTTTTCTGAGCTTGGAGTTGAAGCTTGTGGTCTTTACTACATTTTCTCCCCACTATGGTTGTAGATTTCATCAAGTACAAGCCTTGGGGAAAAACACATATAAAACAAACATATTCTGAGTACAGGAATTGTTTTCTATAGCCAATTTGACAAAGTTCATACAACTTCCATCCCCAAATCTTCTCTTGATTATCATCAACCTTTCCTAAAAGTCTTGGTATATCACCAAGAGATTGGACAATAAATTCAGATGCCCCTCCCTATTCAGAGCTTCTGTTTACTCTGAAAACTTGAAAGATATTTCAACAGCTTCATGATCATTCATACCAGCTTTTCAAAGTTAACCAGCAAATCTAAGTTACACACTTTGTTTTCCTGGTAGGTTGTGGTCCCCTCCTTCCAGATTTGAAGCTCCGGGGTTGGCTAGACTGACATATTTCTCTCTCTCTCTCTCTCTCTCTCTCTCTCTCTCTCTCTCTCTGCTCAGCTCAATAAGGGTGAAAAGCCTTAAGGCACAGTCTGGACCATTTAGTATGCAAAAAGCCTCGCTTCTTTTTCTAGTTATAGATGACCTTGCTGGAAGGAGGAAAAGGCAAATTACCTTGAACTAGAAACCTCTAGGATGTTCAGCAGGTTATTTGTTTTGAACTCTCACAAAGCCACACCTATCATGGTGTGATGGACTACTCCACTTCCCACTCAGACTATGAACGAATCCACTTCAATTCACACCTTCAGCCAGCAAGAGGAAATATACAATTCATTCCTGTTATGTGAGCTAGACAGCAGCAGCAGGACACCAACCATGGTAAAGCAATTTGGAGTTGTCCTGGGACATGAAACAATTACGTAATGAGTCATAATACTGTAATAACATTTCACAAACATTCCTTTGCCATTGGATTCCATATTTGATTCTTTAAACTCCTCCCACATTCCAAAGTCTATTGCATTTTCTGTTGCTATGTACAGAATCCTCATTTTCAAATGTCTAAATCTCCCAACATCTCTTTTTCACTCTCTCTCAATTCATCCGTCCCCTTCCCTATTGGGCTTCCTTTTCTAGAATAAGGTAAAGTTCTACCCTCTTCTTGCACAAATGAGTATCTGTCTGTCATGGCTGGCTGTGATATTACTCAAGATCATCCCAAATGTAGCTTCTGGACAGGTACCTCCTCAGGGCTTCAGATATGCTTCTTATGATGTGACTATCCCAAGGAAGTTGTCTCCCAAGTATGGGCAAGAAGAACCCCAGCATGTGACTTACCTCCTGCAGATTGAGGGAAATCCCTATGTGGTGTACCTCAAGCAAAAGAGGAACTTCATCCCTAAGGACTTTCCTGTCTTCACCTATGATACAGCGGGGGATCTCCAGGTGGATCATCCTTTTATCAAAGATGATTGTTTCTACCATGGATTTGTACAGAGAAAGTCCTCTTCTCTGGTCACCCTCAGTACATGTTCAGGGGGACTGAGAGGTCTCTTGCAATTTGAAAATAAGACCTACGAAATTGAACCAGTCCAGGAATCTCCTACCTTTCAACATGTGGTGTTTCAGTTAGAAGAAGAAGAAGGGGCTCCTCTGATGACTTGTGGGCTAGCAAAGGAAGAGCAAAGCCATCAAGAGGTCATAATTCCAAAAACACAGAAGCTTGCAAGCAAAAGTACTTTTGGAAAATCCTGGTGGCCACATACCAGATATATTAAAGTTGCAATTGTGATTGATCATGAACGATATTTGAGGTTTGGCAGAAATGAATCTTTTACTACTATGCGAGTTCTAGATATTGTCCACATTGCAAATTCATTCTATGAATCTCTTTCTGTTCATTTGTCAATAGCAGGACTAGAGATCTGGTCACAAAACAACCGCATAAACATTTCTAACTACATAAATGTCACACTTGCAGTGTTTGGTAACTGGAAACACAACATTCTACATACATATTTAAAGAATGATGCTAGTCACTTATTTGTATATAAGAGTTATGGGGGTGCAACAGGATATGGATATATAGGAACTATATGTCATAGAAAGTGGTCAAGTGGTGTTGTAACCTATGTATCTTCCAGTTTGTTCTACATTTCTGTTGTATTTGCCCATGAATTAGGACATAACCTTGGAATGAAACATGATGGAAAATTCTGTCATTGTAAAAAGCGTTCTTGCATTATGTCAGCATATCCATCAGGGACTGATAGATTTAGTAATTGCAGTTATAAGGATTATTTCAAGTTTAGAAACACTGGCTGTTTATTAGTCCCACCAGACATTAACACAACCTTTAAATTTGAATTCTGTGGTAACAAAGTAGTGGAAAATGGAGAGCAATGTGACTGTGGGTCAGAAGCACAATGCAACTCAGATCCATGCTGCCAATCTAATTGTAAGTTGCGTCCTGGTGCTGTTTGTGCCTTTGGACTGTGCTGTGCTAACTGCCGGTATCGTAAACTTGGAACTGTTTGCAGAGAGAACACTAGTAGTTGTGATCTTCCTGAATATTGCAGTGGGACTTCGGAGCACTGTCCAGAAGATGTGCATGTGCAAGATGGTGCCCTATGCAGTCATGGAGTGCATTGTTATCATGGGAACTGCGTGACTCATGATATGCAGTGCAAAATGATGTTCGGTAGCAAAGCAACTGTCGCTTCTAAAGTTTGCTTCAGACTAGTAAATGCAAAAGGTGATCGCTTTGGCAACTGTGGCCTTAAACATGGAATTTACAAGAAATGTAATACTCGGGATATCATGTGTGGCCGTATCCAGTGTGAAAACGTAGATAAATTGCCTTCTTTGGAGGATCACAATACAATAGTTCATACTTCCACTGGAAATAATCAGTGCTGGGGAACTGACTACCATAGTGGAATGAAGGTAAATGATATGGGAGCAGTGAGAGATGGCACTTCTTGTGGCAACAGCATGCTGTGTATTGAGGGGAGTTGTGTCAATGTGTCTCTTCTGAAATATGACTGTAATGTCTCAATGTGCCGGAATCGGGGAGTATGCAACACTCTCAAACACTGTCACTGTGATTATGGATGGGCCCCTCCAGACTGTACAAATAGAGGCTATGGAGGCAGCATAGACAGTGGACCGCCTCCAATTATGATACAGACTAGAAGTAATAAGAAAACCTCAGCAATAGCAGGAGTACTGTGCGCCTTTTGTTTTGTACTTGTTTGTGCTGGCCTGGCTGTCTATTTCAAAGATGGTCTGACAAACCTCTTTGGAAAATTCCAGGGAAGAGTCCACGCTACAGAATCAAAAGATGAAGGAACACCACTGTAAATCACAATTTCTAACAATGCACAACCCATCAAATATAAACACAGGAATTAACAGTCAGTTTTAAAAACAAAGGCATTTGAAAGTACAATGTTTTAAAGATGTCTCCCAGGCACATTTCTTTTTGAAAGGTTTGGCTTCTTCAGCAGGGAAACCTCTGATCTACGCAAAATAGAGTTCAGTGAGAATGAGCTGAGGAAATTTCCCATTTGTAAAGAAAAATAAAATGTTTTAACATTGTAGCTGAAAATTCCACGTTCAAATTTGGGAGGAAGAGATCATCCAGAGGCAGCTTGCCCCAGTGTGATGGTCCTAAGTTCCTGGTTCCTGTCAACATGCAGGACGTTGTGGTAGCAGGAAAGCACAATTAAAACCCATCAGCACTTTTGTTTTTTCTTCATTTCCTGCTAGAATATTTTTTTATTCTCACTCAGAATTAGTCCATCCCGTCACTATAATAGATCAAACCTGTGGTCTCTCTTGCTGAAAGTCACAGCATTTCTTTCCAGGATTGGTGAAAAACTGAAGGACCCTTGTTCTTGTCCCACCAAAGCCACTGCCTGAAAAATCTGGTTCAGATACATTGAATAACAGGAGGCTTACTCTGCAGTCAGATAAATATTTTTGCTAACATATTAGTAAACTCTTAAATGAACTTTAGAAATGACTGGAGTTGCTTGATTCAGTCTGGCTGTAGGTTGACCTGCAGTGATCATCAGCGGGCCTCTGAAGAGAACTCTCCAGGACAGCACTGGAAACGAAGCCTCTGTGCTGCAGGTATTTCAACCAACAGCCCGCTATGCCAACAGTGCGTTGCACGTCAAAGAAAGAGCAAGAGGCGCTGTTGATGACAGATTGCTTGGGCTGCCAGCACAACGCTGCACAGCAGTCCTTATTGTCCAACTCTGCCTCAGTAAGATTACTGCTGAGAGTATTATGGGCTTTCAGTATTGTGAAGCCACTCAGTAACAATGGGCGAAAGACATCTCCAGCATGGTCCTCTGCCCATATTTGGAAGCCAAAGTGTGCTACTGCACATGGAAGTCGTGTCTGTCACTCTGCTAGAGATCAAGCCAAAAAGGCTGATACTCAAAAACGTCAAGCTCAGTTATTTACTCCAGGATGCAGGATTGAACTGATAAACCAGGGCAGCCTGTAGGCCAGAGGTTGCTGTGTTATCCAATTATAACTTTTCTTATCAATTCGGCTATGACTATTTGCTCTATTTTAAATAAAAGGCTGTTTAGGTTTTTATCCCATTGGAAACCTGTACTATTATTTGAAATATGGAGATTTTTATTTTTTTTTAAAAAACCATATGTTCCCTTCAGAGAGATGTATTTTAAAAATACATTTTGGGGGGGGGGATTCCTGACCTTTGAAGATCATCTGCATGGATATAAAATTAATGAAATTGAAAATTCAGAATGGATGATAACAGGAATAATTCTAAATCTCTCTCCCAAATCCTGCTGAGTAGCCTTAGGATTGCACCGAAGCCGTTGCTTAAAAGCCAGCAAAAAAGAATTTCCACTGTGGCAGGGAGGAGGAGGAATAGTTAGGTATGGATGATCAGGTGCTCCTTTCCATGCTAAGTTATCTGTAGGCGGTAGCATGGCCCTGCCTCCCCTATCAGCCTAACTGGAAGGAGTGGTGGAAGGCTTAGAGCAGTATTTCTCAACCTCAGCAACTTGAAGATGTGTGGAGTTCAACTTCCAGAATTTCCCAGCCAGCCTAGAGAGCAAATGAAGAAGAATGAGGTAGGTTTTGCTTCCTCTTTCTTAGCAGAGAGATTAGAGCAAGTATGTGAAATATTTGCATATCCCCATCCCCCCTTCACAGATTGAAAGAGGGACAATTAACTAAACCTTCATGAAATGAGATCTAAGCAATACAGACTTTTGCCAAAGGTAGGTAGGTAGGTAGGTAGGTAGATTCTGAAATACACAACCAACTCAACAAGAAGTCTACACTCAGACTTATTTTTCTCCTCCTCCTCCTCCTCCTCGTTACATCCTGGTGCTTGTGATCTTGGACTGTGCTGTGCTACTTGCTACTACATAAATTTGTACTTGTTTGCAAATGGAACACTAGTAGCTGTGATCTTCCTGAATACTGCAACCAGACATCTGGAAAGTACCTTGAAGATACACATCTGCAAGATGAAGCCTGTGAGATGAGTGCTATTGTTGTGACTATTGTTCTCAGCAGCCACTGTATGTTTTTTTTTAAAAAATTAATTAAATTTACATGTCACCTGACTCCCAGTGGCACTAGGTGGTTTACAAATTATTTAAAACGTTAAAAACAAGACATTAAAAATGATAACAGAAAGGTAACGATGGCAGGACGACAAACCAAGTGCAAATCAAAGGAAACAACCTAGGGTTAAAGGAGACTTCAGTCACCCTCACCAAAGGCCTGGGCAAAGAGCCAGATCTTCAAGGTCCTTTGAAACATCAGCAAGGTGGGGGCCGTTTGAATCTCTATATTTCTTGTTCCTATTTTGGGGTGTTTCTGGAGTTTTAACCTTGTTAGCTGCCCAGTGTCATGAGATGGGTAACCATATAAGTTGATTAAAATAAATAGTAAAGATGGTGCCTCATGCACTGATAATGCATATTGTTACTAAATTTTGTAATGCAATTTGGTAAGAGGGCAATAGTTGCTTACAAAGAGTGCTTCCAACAAACCAGTGCTCTAGCTGATGCTTTGGCAATTGTGGCCATAAATATGGAACTACATTACATGTGAAGCTGACTGCACTGAGAGTGAAAATGTAGGAAGCTTACATGTTTGGATGACCACAATATAAAGTTCAGACTTCTATTGGAAATAAACAATGCTGGGACTACAGACTACCACACTGGAAAGGAATTAACTGATACTGGAGCAGTGAGAAATGGTGCTCCTGTAGCATTGACATGATGTGTACTGAAAGGCAATGTGTTTACATGTCCCTCCTGAGGTATGGCCACAATGTCACAAAGTGTCAATAAGGGAGCATGCAACAGTTGCAAAAATGATGACTATAATTATGGCTGGAACCTTTCTGACTGTCTAAATTAGTATTTCTCAACTTCAGCAACTTTAAGATGTGTGGACTTCAACTCCCAGAATTCCATGCAGACTGGGGAATTCTGGGAGTTGAAGTCCATACATCTTAAAGTTGGTGAGGTTGAGAAAGAGTGGTCTAAATGAAGATTACAGGGGCAGCATAGGAGGATTACAACCTGTTTTTTGTGTTGCTGCCACTTGTGAACAACAACAAAAATTCATCCTACAGAATCAAAACAGGACACTCCATAGTAAAACTCAGATTTGAACATTTCACAAGGAGTTAAATATCAACTTAGGAAATAATAGTTTTCCAATAAAATAAAATACCTTTGAGCAGGTAAAGGTTTGAAGATTTAATTTTTAAAGTTTCTTTGGTTTAAATTGTCTTTGAAACATGTTTTATGAAAAAGCTTAACTTCACTGAAGGGAAAGGGGAAAAGAAAAAGGGAAAGGGAAAAGAAAGAGGTTTCTAACCTGGGGTCTTAATCACATTACTAATTTTACCTGCAAAATATATATTACTTGGTATAAGTACCTCTGAATTTGCCCATCATATCAAGCAGGTATCTGAACTGAACTGGGCACATGCAAATATCACTGTTGAACTCATAATACATTTAGAAGCATGCTCAGGAACCATCCGTGGCCATTTACTCACTATTTATAAGGTGTTATAGTGCTATCCAACCATTGTCATACCAATGTACTAGTATCAAGGACAGGCGTTATATTGTCACAGTTATGGTTGGGCGATGCCAGAAGTGGCTATAAATCACTAGAGAGGACACAGCCTTAATCTGTGGGGTATTCTCCACAGGGCTACAGGCAATGAGCATCAGCTTTTCTGTCTGTTAGCAGGCACTCCAACTGGCCAGCTTAAAGTGAGAGCCCATCCAAAGTCCCCCCTTTAGCCTACTTATAAAAGGTACGTTCTTTGAAAAGGCAGGATGCAAATATTTTTTCCCAGCTCTGCTAGTTGTGAAATAATATAAGACTGCATCCAAACTAACTGTCAGCAGTGGAATATGACATTGTATCAACACACCATTTTCAAGCCAGTATAGCAAGGTCTTTGCAGAACGTATATCGTGGAAGCAAAAAAATATTTTTAAAAGGATGTAACCTTTTTTTTTTTTTTGGTGCCTTCAAGTCAATGTTGACTATTAGCAATTGCCTGAACTGGTCCCTGCAGTTTTCTTGGCAAGATTTTCAGAAGTGGCTCGCCATTGCCTCCTTCCTAGAGCTGAGAGAGACTAGCCCAAAGTTACCCTGCTGGATTTGTGCCTCAGGCAGCACTAGAACACACCATCTCCCGGTTTCTAGCCTGGTGTCTTAATCACATTACTAATTGTACAGGTAGTCCTCACTTCCTGACAGTAATTGGGATTGGGAACTCCATCGCTAAGCAACATGGTCATAAGGCACAAGGTCATGTGACTGGACTGACTTATGATGGCAGTTCCAGCAGTCCCAGTTGCTGTCATTAGGTGAATCCCGTATGGTTGCAGCATCCCACAGTCATGTGATTGCCATTTGTGACCTCCTGGCGGCTTCCCCTTTGACTTTTCTTGTCAGAAGCTGGCAGTGAAGGTCGCAAATGGCAATCATGTGACCGCAGGACACTGTGATGTTGTAATTGTGAGCCGATTGCCAAGCACCCAAATCACGATCATGTGACTGTGGGAAGCTCCAATGGTCGCAACTATGAGGACCTGCTATAAGTACCCCTTGTTCAGCACTGTTGTAACCTCCATTGCTGAATGAGTGTACTTTAAGCAAGAACTACAATTTTAAAGTACAAAATCAGAGCTGAAATAATAAAACAGGTACCAAAATGTATGCCATATGTATCAAAGACTCCGAATGAATATTGTCTAAAATATTAAAATACTATTCTATCTAAAAGTCCATTTGTATAGTTGAGATTCCTTAACAGCTGGTGAATAGGCAGGCCCTCCTTCAACCCACCCCTCCCCATTCACTACTTTAATTCCCTCCAGACTTCACAATGTTGACAGCTGATTCCCAATAATGGAATCAACATCCTTATCTAAACAGTAGAATACATACTGTATGGAGTGGGAACAAATGGGCAGGCAATGGAAATAAGCCTGTGCGTCCCCAGGTAAGACAAGGTATGCCCAGGTATCTTCTCAACCTCCCCACCCCACTATCTAGAGCAGTGTTTCTCAATATTAGCAACTTCAAGATGTGTGGACTTCAACTCCCAGTATTCCTCAGCCAGTAAGCTGGCTGGGGAATTCTGGGAGTTGAAGTCCACACATCTTAAAGTTGCTAAGATTGAGAAGCATTCATCTAGGGGATAAAGGTGGTCTTTTTAAAATTCAGGCCTCAAAAGGGGAAGAAAGAAAACTCCAAGGAAAAGAGAAACAAGAAGGTGCTGGAGGGGAGGCTGAAAAGAAGTAGATTTTTAGCATCTCCCCCAAGCCTCCAAAGTAAGCTTGGTCATTCCAGAAAAGCTAAAAGGAAGTCAAGGTAACACTGAATCAGAAAGAGACTTCTGTTTCAAGGAATTGTTGTGTGGGTAGACAGACGTTACCAAGCCCATCTGGAACTCTCCATAATGATTTTAAGTTGTGCAGTGGTACCTCTAGTTACGAACTTAATCCATTCCGTGACTCTGGTTGCAACTCGAGTTGGTCTCAAGTC